ATATGTAAGGTGTATGCGGCCAGAATGTTCAGGGAAAGAACCCCTGCCTAATATCATAGACTCCGTGAAAACATTCCTTCTCCCAACATTGTCGCCGCGACCCCGGCGTAACCCGGAACAAGAAATGTAAATATTCCTCAGTTTCCCTAGCACTAGTTCCTAAGTCTACACTTCCATTCATTTGTAGCACTGCAGTTAATAAAACTCTCTTTATCTTTGTGCCACGGGCAAGCGGGCTTGGTCTCACCCCCGGCCCTCAGCGCTGCACAGAAAGTTGATATCCGAGAGGTTGAAATTCAAGGTGCCGGTGGTGGTGGTGGGCGGGGCACGGGTATAGCCATGAGCGAGAGAGGATGGAAGGGCCTTGTGATTCTGCTGCTTGATTAATGCATTTCAGTACGAAGTGAAGATACTGGAACAACACCAGCTTTGAAGGCCAGCATGCTTTCGGCGATAACCTGGTGACCGTTATCTGTAGAGCTCTATTGGATGGTTATGACGACTGAGCGAGTCACCTACTAACCTCCTTTCTCGCCGTGTGAGCTATTATGGATCTGGTGATCTCTCGATTCTTCTTTCTTGACACAGTGGGGGGTGGTCGATGGAGGAAGCATGTGGTCGATGTTCTGTTGTTGAGGTGGGGTCCGTGCATAGCCGTGGCTTCTGTAGGCGAGTTTGTCGGGGAATAATTGGATGAACCCCACTAATGCACACAGCCTCACATTGCCTACGCGCAACCCGCCACAGGACTCCACCTCGACACTATGCTACCACGTGTTCGAAAATACTACCCGCGTTCAAAATGAGAAAGAGATGCATGAGGATTCTCTACTCTACCGACTCTCCCCGCAGTTGGTTGCAGATATTGAGGCGTCAAGATTTTTCCACTTCGCACCAAAATCTCACCGCCGGCCTCCAGCCACCGGAGCACATGAAATCAATCGCGCCCTGCATAATATCTCCTGACCTAGAAGCCCACAATGTAGGTCACGAAAGAATTTTCGTACCGCTCCGCGTATGAGCAACATACTAAAAACGCCTATAGACGCCCAGTGGGAGTTTAGCCGCGCCACCAGCTCTTCAATGTAGCTATCGACAGAATAAAGAATAAAGGCTACATCAATTAGGAACTTCTAGCCCATTCTTCCATAAAAAATTGGACGTCGCGCGCGCTCATCTCCAATTGCCGGCAGCTCTTGAAGGGGTGATGTGAAGGCAATATCGTGCTGCTGATGTAGCTAGAGCAAGGCGGGTCGGGCTTATGAGTACATAGGATCAGAATTGCGTTAGAGTTGTGCTTTTAAATGGCCTTGAGGGAGTGTTGGGTGCTAACGCTGGAGGGTATCCATACATAACGTTAGTCAAGGTGTATTCCTGTGCATGTGCATATAACGAGACGCGTTCCGCTAGAAACACCTTTCAGCGACAATGTAGGCAGGATGCTAATACAGGACAGATAATAAGAGTTTGCATATAGAAGCATCAGAAGTAGCACAGATCAGTATAGTCAACCCGAATACCTCTTTCTTTCAAAGGGACGTCTATGTACGTCTTAGTTATAGTAAGATCACAGACAAGGGGGTGCCTGAGATTATCTACTAAGGGACGATAGTATTGCAGACTCTCTGAGCTACGTGTCCTAGTATCTCTGAGCCTCTTCTACGATATTCACTAGAGATTCATGGAACGCATGCCGCCCACAATGGCATGCTCAGTTAGATATTCTTTGAGTCACCTCGAACTCATATCTGAACTCAAGCGCGAGCTTGATGAGAAGATAGATGTCTCCCGACAAAGACTCTTTGATTATAATCATTTCGGGGTCAGAACCTGATTTATGATCCAGTGGGTGGAACGATATACGATTGATGGAATACGGCAAAAGCTCAGAGACTGTCGAAGAGCTATGGGAATACTAGTCGCATTGATGAGTTGGTTTGGATATTGAAATGTTTGTTTGCATGCAACAAAATATCAGTCGAGGATATAGGGAAAGCTTGATGCGGAAAGATTTATACTTCTCGCGATGTTGAAAACATCCTGATAAGTGGAGATCAGATTCGGAGAAGGGTGGAGAAACATGGTACACCTAATAAAGTAAGATTGGTCGGCAAATTCTGTGCCGGGTTGACCCTGTCGCTGTGACTGTGACAATCTCCCGAGTGATAACTTGTGAGGATGCCAATTTCGTCATGAAAAGCTGTGCAGGGAGAGGAGAAATCTATATGGGAGCCATTTGAGGTCGATTATATGCTTTGTAATACTAGGACATTGGAGGATTTCTTATACAGCCCAGATCCCCAATGGCATAGTAGTCCAGATTTTTCGACGCTGCATAGTGGTTTTAAGCGAGTGATAAGTTGTGATTCACGCGATTTTTCCGTTTCTTTTACGTTCACTTTCCAGTCACAAGGTTCGTATATAAGCACCTTAAATGCGCTGGCAAAGGCAGTGGTTTGTCCCAACTTTGAGCTTCCCTCATTACTCTACTTCCCACCACAGCTGACCACACCTACCCCGACGACAGTATCAAGCCATACCTCTCATCCGGCATTTGCTCAAACACACCGCTGGCCGGAAAATGAAATTTCTGTCGCCGTTCTTCTGTTGTGCTGCATTCTCCGGTCATCCTGCGTACCTCGCCGACGATGGTGCATATCATGAAACATCCTGCAACACCAACCGCTAGCGCTTCTCGCCAGTGATGAATGCCATGTTTCAGTAGCAGAGTATCAAAGCAGTCCGAACACCTGCAAGAAGAGCGCCGGCAAGTGAAGGTAGTAAAACACCCTCCTCTTTCTTGTCCGGCCAATAAAAGCCATTAATTTCCCACAAATTGTGACAACCACACCTAGAATTTACCATTAACAACCCCGGAAGAAAACAATCAATCCACAAGAATATGTCTAACATCGCCTCTTTGCTAACCGAGCGTGGCATTCTCGAAGAAGATATACATGAATGCTACCAGAGACAAAAAGAAATTACATATAGAATGGCGCTAGCTAGGTGGCTCGCGGGAAGGAGTGGGTCAAACCACAGGGTTGAAGAAGCCGAACGCACATGCTTGATATTGGGGAAGATTTCTGATGGCTTAGGGCGCCAGATTATAAGGAGTATGAAGGGCATTCAAATGATCGATGATGAGAGTGAGTGTTTATTGTTTGAGTGGACGAATTTGAAAGGGTAAGAGGGAGTTATCGTTTGAAGAGCTAGAGGCGTAGTGCCCGGCAGCGTATCCACACAGCTTATAGTGTGTGTGTGGACGGAGATGAAATAGATTATGACAGATGTGGAAGAGCATAGAAGAAACTTAGACGTACTACTAGAATAGATTAAGACTAGAACACTTCCTTCATTCGATATTGTACCTGGTGATATCTGTTATTTGAAGAATTCTTCACCGGGTTCAACTTATCTTCATATTGTGAACAATTGCAATGGCACGGGGCTATTTCCTTGCTCTCCGTTATATCCTCTTCAATAGGCGCTATTCCTAGAGCAAATGCTAGCAACCAAGGGTCATTCCTTCCTCTGACTTCTCCACCTCTTTGCCCCGCTTCTCCTTCTCCCCCGCTTCCCCGCCCCCCATCTTCTTCCTCGTCCGTATGGTGTTTTGATGGCTTCGTGACTGCTTTAAACTGAACGACGGATGGGCGTCTCTCTTTCTAATCTATTCGAAGACCCACCAGAGCACCTCTATTAGTGATGCACACAACACAAAACAAGACGAGACTTCCCTGGATCTCGTCTTGTGTTGTATCTGGGAAGAGAGGGTCTTGTGGCTAAAGAGACCTAGGGTAGGTCTCGCGCAAAGTCTCGAGACCACAGCTCCACCTCCAGAGCCAGAGATAAGTTTCAACTTGAGTTTGTACACATATCAACCTACGTATTAAACCCTCCGCCTGGAAAATACTCCATTTTTCAACATTTTACATTGTTTCGAGACGTCTCGAGACTGCTGAATTGAGTCTTGAGACTAATTGTCTTGCCCAACTACAGGTCTCGTCTTTTCTCGTATCGTCTAAGAAAACAAAGTCTCGAGACTCTTTGTATCGTGTGCATCACTAACCTCTATGGTAGGAAGAAATCGATCCTGTAAGTCCTCCTCAAATTAGTTTCATCATAAAGTTCTTGGGCGTGGGAGCCTTACGCCATTATAGTACATGCACAGAGCTTCCACATCGGCCCCGTACGTCAGGTTCCGTTCTTATAGTTTGGAACGTGGAGCAATTCCTGAGGCCTATGGCTTGCATATGCATGGGTAGGGAAATTTCAGCTGAGAGAGGGATCTGGGGAAGGTATTCGCAGTCGTTGATATCTGCCGATTCCTCATTGAAGGTTTGTTTGGCTCATGTAGCAGGTCAGTTTGTATTTTTGTGCGAAACGGGTTGAGTTGGAGAGGACATTTCGCTTAGACGGGAAGAGATGTCGCCGCAACGGAGAGATACGAACCGAAAAAGAACAGAGGATTCTCGTCATGAATTATCACTCGCACAGAATAGCCAAGTTGCTAAGATTTATAGTGGGATTGTAGTTGTAAATTCATAATTTACAGCGGGGTATAATAGTTTTTATACAAAGTTTAGAGTCTTACGAACCATATACCTAAAAATATATACCAAGAAATGACTCCTACACACCACCACCTTCCTTGGACAATAAATGTCGTAGGAAGTAGACACAAAATGCGAGAACTAAAGTCTCCAAAGAATATATCACAAGAAATTACTCTAGACCCTCTCAAGTAACCACGAAAAACGGTCCTTGGTACACATAAAATCCCCTAATAAATAATTCCGGAACAAAACTCCATGATATACACCCCACGCAAAACCTCAAGTCCAACCAGAATCCAACCCAGAGAACAAACTCCCAGGCACGCAAGCCAAGACTGCATCCTCATACCATACAGGTCTCACTTGCTCATCCAGAACGCAAAGGGATGCACGAAACCTCCAACGTAACATCCATCACCGAGCCCGAGAAATTCTCCTCAGTCACCCGCGGCGCTTGGTTTTGCTGAAGAGTTCCTCCCACATCTCAACTGGATTATTGAGGTGACAAATATCCTGTTGAACCTCTTCAGTGCAGGAGTTGATGATCATAGCTGATCCCATACCAAGTCGCTTGTGGTAGTCGGCCGTTGCTGCGGTTCGGCGGGCGTGCAGCTGTTGTTCCTCCCCAAGGGTAATATTAAGACAATTTTCAGCCTGAAGCATAAACCTCATTGATGTGCGCCACTGAAGGTAATTGGAACCAGTGAGTTTATCAATTTCCCCATAGTTGCTCTCGTAAGGTAACTGGTTGTTGGTGGGAAGTTGATATGTGGCATAGTGGTTGTTGTGCAGCTGCGGTTGAGGTTAACCTTGTAGTTGTACGTTGTGGTTGCGGATCTTCCAAGTAACCACGGAGGAAGACCCTTGGCAAAGATGAATTCCGTGAAAATCCAAGCTACCGGAGATTTAACTCCCAGGCCCGGTCGAAAGTCCGAAATCAGACTGGTGACTCGATTTCGGTCGAGTATTGCGATTGATACCGTGTGGGTGCGTTGCTGCTGTTGCTACTATTGCGTGCATCTGATCACCGTTTGGTATTTACATGCAGTGTCGATCCGTTATTGCCATTGATTTTGGAAGAGGTGTTGTCCCGGTGAGGCTGGAGGGGGTCTAAGTGGCTAAAACAACAAAGAGAGATTAGACTGCTATAACGAGCGCTGTCCGGGCGTATAACCTGATGAACTAATGCGCTACAATAAGACGACTGATCTTGCTTGATGCCGCAATAAAGAGTGGGTTTAGGCCCATATATATAGCCGTAAAGATACATGCCAAGGAGTCCGATTGTAGAAAATGAGATACTGAACAGCCTTAGTCCTAAGAAACAACTCCCAGGTGCGGAAGTCAAGGTCGGTTTACCGCCACTGCCAGCCTTATATATAGCGGGATGTATCACAAAGAGGGTGCCTCCCACCGATGGAATGAGGTTATATATCCAGGGCACTGTAGCACACATCAACTTGACTACAGCACGTCAGCTCCTCAGGATTCCGCAAATCACGCATGAAAGATAAGTATGACCAGGCTCTGCGATATCGATAAGCGGTGGAATATAGAGTTAACGCCACTGTAATGAGCTGTGGGCTAAGACGATCCATCCGGGCTAATTTTCGGTAAGGTAGAGGCCGGAGATCTCTCTATGGGCGAGGTGATATTCCAGCCCGGACTAGGTAAGGAGCGCCATGCGAGAAAGACAGGTCTGGGTTGAGTGGGGCAGGATTTAACTCCATACATGGGTTGTATATTTAGAAATGGTTCATTTGGAGATGACTGATCAAGAAACCTCTGTGTTTGGTGGGCATGATGTACCTCCGAATAGGTGATCTAACCCACGGTTATTTACTTGCGCAGGCCGCAGGTTCTTTTCATAGACGGTCTAGGCCGAGTCTGTTTTTGGCTTGCCTTTGCGCCTCGGGATGCCTCAGCTATTGATATTAAAAAGCGCTCACAAAGATTATAGTTTTGATGGGAGCTCGAAGGTTTTTGGTGCCATAGGTCTTTTTTTACAAAGGGTTGGGCCCATGGGACAAGGTCGACATAGGATAAATTAGATCCTCCAACCCCTTTCCCACATTTCCCTGAGCTATAAAGAGACCAGATGTTAACTCAGGATTTAAACCCTGAGAACAAAACAAACAAGAAAGTTACCAGCGGAACGAGACGGGAAAGAAAGAGACTCGTCTAGACAGAGGCTAGAGGTAAGAAAGTTCCGTATGGAGGGCGTCTGCGTATCAGTAACCTGAAAAGAGCCATCTCCGATCAGGAGTAAGAGAGGCGTATCGAAGAGTCCTATTCTATATCTCACTAAATAAGACTATTCAATTAGCGGGGTGTGTGGGTTCTTCGAGCCTACCGCCAAATCATCCACACCATTCATCTGTACGTACCTCGTGGAACTCAAAAGTCGGACAGATGAAACGGCACCCGAAAGGGAGGGGGTAACTTTATTTTTAATCAGAAAGTTTATCTTTGATACCTTTTGGGCAGAGGTGGGATCCCGGTAGTATAGTGTATGGACGCCAGTGTTCTGGTTTTCTGGGTAAATCCATCCCAGACCGACTCCTATATCCGTGGGAGAGGAAGAACAAAAACAGAGAGAACCGCATGGCAGGACAGATTGAGGGAGACGCATGAGATGACTACATATGTGTCGACGGTACGTACATGTAGCTACACGTTATAGATCTTATCAACTCGACTAGGAACGTTGATACGGCGATTTCAATGATTCTCTCTACAATTGATTATTTATCTACATTATATGATTTACTATGTACATTCTGGAATATCTGTACGTTATCGATGTCAGGTACAAAAAGGACAAGACGGAAACGATTTTCTTTGCCACATAATTCCAAAATGAGAGCGAACACGAGAACGTAAGACCACGGGAACGTACGTAAGAACACAAGAAAGCAAGAACACATGAGCGCAAGAGCGCAAGAGCTAAAGCACGAGAACGCAAGAACGCAAAAATAGAAGGGAAAACTCTGTAACACTAACCTTAATATTACATGTAGGTATAATTGGTCGAGACCAATGTAAATACATGTACGTATCTTCTCCCATGGAAAATAATTTAGGGTGAGGGGGTTTTGTTGTGGATGGGAGCGTAGATGAATCCGAAATTATTAAACGACACGTAGAAAAGGATTTTCAAGATTTTGAAATCTGTACCCTCGATGTCCGTATTTTTAACCAATGAAACATTGTTACTATGTAGGATCAAGGAATAGGCGGGAACGTTTCTCACGAACTGAAGTCGGCGTAGCGGTCCCGCACGGCCAGCATCTTAATCGTGAATCTCTCGTAGGACTCGATTCTGAAGAGAAAGCTATTCTTAGAAATGATGACAGCGTGGTCATTACTACTTGGCTCTAATCCGCCGGTCATATATTAGTCAGAACAAACCAAAGCTGACCCACTCAAAACCGAGTTCAGAAGTCTCCTTTCAGCGGGTGTGCGTGGTCTAATGGTTAGGCTCTCAGCACTTATTACCCAACCCGTTACATCGGGCAGGAGGTTCAAATCCTCCGCCTGGTGGGAGTTAAATTAACTTTTTCTCCTTTTTTGTAAAATGTTTTACTACAGTTTTAGTTCTGTTAAGATGAATTACTTCAAGTAATGTATCTGTATGGCCCATAAAATTTGTTGTGAAATGTGCTGGACGTTTTATTCGTGTTTTTGAGCTTGTAAACGACTGGTATGGGATATTCGCAACTTAGTACAGTAACCGCACACCCCTCCCAAAACGTAACCATTTGTCACGATATCTCTAAAAATAGGCTTCGAAAAACCGATCAGTTCTTCCGGTTTCTAGACGCAGCGTGGTCGAGGTAAATACAATTCACCGCCATACATATTGACCTCGACATACTCACCCGTTAATTAAGTCCTGAGAATTCTTGGTAGGAACGACCTCATAAAATTTCTCAGGACTTAATTAACGCGCGAGTACGAGTACTTGCTCGTTAATTAAAAATTCCCACACAGAATTCCGACCTTTTACTTAACGCGTGAGTACTTCAATTATTGGTCTTCTATCCAGTCCAAATAGATGTACTTAAGTCTTATCATCTTTCACGCTCGAACCAAGTACCCTTGGTCAGGTAAACTACATGTCATATCAAAACCACATAGACACCGGGGCTCTTTGAGTGTGGGATATTTCCCACTCAATTGACTCAAGTCAAAACACGTACCAACCGGTAACGTGGCCTCTATGTATTTTGGGTTACGGCGCTCGACCGACAACTTGTGGCATGGATTATTACTTATGTATCTCTTTGCGATTCCTTCGTTTCGGCTGGGCGTAGGTGCTAAGTAAGATCTCAAGCTCAGGAGCTGATCTGGACCTATGGCGTGTCAAGGTACAGCCACTCTGCAAAAGTGTCCGTGATTCCGATTTCGGAGTGAGACCTTTCTCTATATGTAACCGTAGCGGACCATTAAATACCCCCAAGAGAAAACTTTCCCAGTAACCAATAGAGCCCGGAATCAATTAAGAATAAGATCAATGACCTATCTTCTTTTATATATAGCCACGAACTATATTATATATTTATTGTTGTTTTGAATCTCTACCTTAATAACATCAACGTCACGGGTGCGCCACACTGCGCACTGACATTAAAACTAAATCACGAACAGCTTTGCTAAGTAGCTGTAGGTGCGTATAAGGGACGTGTCAAGACGACTTTTTATTAAATATTTTCGGATGATTTTTATTTTATTTCTTCTTTGGCTCTCTTTTATAATGACCAAAAACAAAGGAAATAATCTACTGCACTCTGTGGCTTCTTCTCCATAGATCATTAGAGGGAGTTCTGGAAAGTGAAATAACGTAAAAATAAAGAGAAATAAAGAGAGACAATGACTTTCACTAGTGAAATGAATTAACTCAAGAAAGAATAAAGAAAGAATAAAGAAAATATTCTAAGGAAAAATAACGGAAAATTCTTTAAAGAAAAACACGGCTACCGACTGATGACTCCGCTTTTTACAGTAGGGAACCCTGTTCTAGCATGGAGTAGGGTAGTGGATCATAGAATATCACTCGATTGTATCTGTCTTGGCGCGTGGCGGGGGTTGGGCCACATACGCTCGATCGATGGCGCTCTAGGCTCGTATGTTCCCGAGCGTTCTCTCAAAAATACCGCGCCCGCAATGTGCCACGGAGGGCAGAACTCCTTGTGCTTTCCTGCGCGGCATCCCGACCCCCCCGTTGGTAACCGTAGCTTCGCACTTCAACTATTTTCAAGAATGTAATTATATGGGCATCCGGGTATCAACCCGGTAGAAGGGTCCGGTGCGGCAACGCAACGAAGCCTCACCAGTTCACTACCGCGCTTTGCAGGTTCCAATTGATGGGACAAATGGCCAAAAGATCAATTCAAGGTTCTCTGAGCTTCAGGAAGATTTGGAGTTTATCGGTTGCGTGATTTTTCGGAATAAGGGTTTGGCTGTGCGGACGGTTCTACCAGATCGACACCCATACACACTTCCTTCAACGGCAACAACCGATTAATGAGTACTTATATGTATGCGGCTACATAGCATTGATCTTATTTAGAAAGAAGAGCCCGAGATAAATTGTAAAAAAAAAAATTGACAAAAAGTTAATTTAACTCCCACCAGGCGGAGGATTTTAACCTCCTGCCCAATGTAACGGG